AACCACGACCCACAACCCAGCCACCCCATGGTCACCCGATCCAAAGCAGGCATTACCCGTCCCAGACATATTCTTGACCTCAGCACCACCGCCCAAATCTCCCCACTACCCCCTACCTACCGTAGTGCTTTTAAGGACCACAACTGGTATGATGCTATGTGTGATGAATTTAATGCTTTGATTAAAAACGACACATGGGAACTTGTACCTCCCTCCCCCACACAAAATGTTATTACCGGTAAGTGGCTCTTCCGCCACAAATTTGGCCCTACAGGTGATCTGTCCAGGTATAAAGCTCGGTGGGTGGTCCGTGGATTCAATCAGCGCTTCGGCATCGACTACGAGGAGACTTTCAGTCCGGTTGTCAAACCGGACACAGTTCGTATTGTCCTCAGCCTTGCACTTTCACGCGGGTGGTCGATTCATCAATTGGATGTGAAGAATGCCTTCCTTCATGGAACACTTCAGGAGACAATCTATGCCAGTCAGCCTTCCGGTTTTCAGGATCCTGCGAGACCCCATTATGTTTGCAGGTTGAAGAAGGCCTTATATGGCCTTAAGCAGGCTCCCCGTTCTTGGTATCATCGTTTTGCAGGCTTTCTCTTGACCTTGGGTTTCCGTGGCTGCAAGAGCGATACATCCCTCTTTGTCTATACCCGAGGGAATGCCATGGCCTATCTATTGCTCTATGTAGATGATATTGTCCTCACTGCCTCCTCATCCCCTTTACTTCAGCGTCTCACTCAGCAGCTTAAGGGGGAATTCGCCATGACAGATATGGGTGATCTCAATTTCTTCCTCGGGATCAATGTTCAGCGTACACCAGATGGGCTCTTTCTTCATCAGACCCAGTTTGCTCACGAGATTTTGGAACGTGCAGACATGCTCAACTGCAAGGCAATCTCCACTCCAGTTGACACAAAGGCAAAACTCGGGGCTTCTTCTGGCACACCCCTTTCCGATCCTACCCTATACAGGTCCATTGTTGGAGCATTACAGTACCTTACTTTCACGCGGCCGGATCTCACCTATGCCGTACAGCAGCTATGTCTCCACCTTCATGCCCCCCGCAGCACTCATCTCACTGCCATGAAGCGTGTCCTCCGCTACTTGCACGGCACCACCACTCATGGGATCACTCTCCATCGCACGTGTACAGATTCCTTGCAGGCATACTCTGATGCTGATTGGGCAGGATGCCCCGACACCCATCGTTCCACCTCGGGCTATTGTGTTTTCCTTGGCGACAACCTCATCTCTTGGTCCTCCAAGAGACAAGCCACCACATCACGTTCGAGTGCTGAGGCCGAATATCGAGCAGTTGCAAATGCCGCAGCTGAGGCAAGTTGGGTCCGAAATCTCCTCCTCGAGTTACAGCAACCTCTGCGCCGCACCACACTAGTCTTCTATGACAACGTAAGTGCCGTGTACCTATTGACCAACCCGGTTCAGCACCAGCGCACAAAACATGTAGAGGTTGATATACACTTTGTCAGGGACAAGGTTGCTCTGGGGCAGGTCCGTGTTCTTCATGTTCCCTCTTCCTCTCAGTACGCTGACATATTCACCAAAGGGCTACCTTCTCTCCTCTTCTCCGATTTCAAGCACAGTCTCGGCATTCGCCCTTCGCCAGTCACGTAGTTGGCAGCATGTTAAATATATTGTATATTTAATATCTTTACATATATTTGGTAGTTTCCTTTGTATAGGGTTTCCTTGTTTATAATCCTACCATAGTTAGGAGACTTATGTTTTGTATATATACGGGGCTTGACTCCACAAAATCGATATAGAAAATAATTCTTCTTCATTTAAGTAAACAAATTCCTTAGGTTTGCATCTAGACTTGGCAAAACAGAACCGGATCGAAAACCCGAATCGAATTATCCAAAACCGAAACCGAAATGATCCGAAAAATGAAGATCCGATCTATAACCGGAAACCCGAAATGATCCAAATCGAATCGAAACCAAACTAATTAATTCATATTCAATTTAAATCTGAAACCGATAATATCTGAGCCGATTAAACCCGAAACCGATTAGATCCGAAATCGATAATACCCGAAAACGATTAGATCTGAAAACGATTATATCCGAACCCGATTAGAACTAAAACCGATAAATTCAGAACTGTGTTTGCCTTTCAATAAGACTATTATATTTTTAAATTTTTACTTTTATTTTACTATTTGAATTAATTACATTACTTGCTCATTCCCTCATAAAATGGATTATCATCTTGAAAAAAAATTATAAAATCTCATGCCTTAAATTTATTATATTTAGAAATTGAAGATAAGTTATACATATAAAATTTTGGATGAATAAAGTGCCAACTATTTTGTTATTAATAAAATTCAAGGGAATAAAATATTTGAAAAACAAGGTGAAGCATCAATTGAAAAATATTAGGTTTAAGAGTTGAAGGGGAATGGAAATTGAGAAATGAGTTGAATAATAGCATAAGAAAATTGATAAGATTAAGCAGGGAAAGTAAAAAGGAATGGGGGAAATTTTGAGCATAAGAAAATTGATAAAAAAATTAAATCTTTGATTAGATATTGTATGAAAAATACGATACTAATTTCAGTCTTAAGTTAGAAAATCTAATTAAAACAATCTTATTTTAAATAAAAACTCCTCCATCTTAGAAAGAATGCTACATAACGCAAAACAAAGCAAGAATTTTAAGTTTTTAAAATTTATTTTATTTAAATATTGGTATAGAAATAAAAAATGTCTACATATTTTAAAAAAATACATCAAAAATTTTACAAAATAATATGTTACAAGAATAAGAGTTTATTTTATCAAATAATAAATGATAACGCACAAACTAAAAAAAATTTCATAATTTTTAAATAGTGAAGTGTGATATTCTTTTTGGGGCGAAAGGATTATACGATGAATTGTATGGAATAACTAGATTTTATCCTAATTTCATCCAATTACAATAAATTTTATTGGTTTGGGGAGTTAATTTGATTAGTTTCAAACCAATTTACTCAATATTAGTCAATAACATTAGATGATAGTGTTAGCATTTTGAAAAACTCTCCAGTGGCAGCAAGTGATATCATTTTCAAATTTGATCTACACCATTTAATTTAGGTGTAAAATTAATTATATTTGACTCTATTAAATTTAATTTTATCTAATTTTAATCGAATACACTCAAATTCACTTAATTTCACCCAATTTTACTCAATTTTTACCAAATTGTATTCAGTTGGAATGTAACACTATTTGAATTTATCTTTTATCTTTTCATTTATAAGCATAAATATATTAGTAGATGTGAGAAAAATTTGATATATCAAAACTAAATTCGAAAATTAATTTAATTATATTAAATTTATATCATAATTAAATATACATTTTTCATAATTTGTAGTCCAAATATGATTCGAAAGTCAAAAAGGAAGATTATTTAGGGTAGAGATAAATTTATCCGAACCGAAATCTATCCGAACTGACTCGAAACCGAACCGAACCAAAAAATTTATAGAACTGAATCAAATCTGAACCGAAATGAAACCAATCCGAACCGAACCGAACTAATTACAACATATATCTGAAAGATATACGAACTGAAAAAATCCAACCCGAAACTGATCTGGTTGACCCGATTGCCACCTCTACTTGCATCCACCCATATCTTTATCCTCGCTACCCTTCAGAATTGTTTCCTTATTCATTGTTCTGTTACCTACCTATAGCAACTCGCAAGTAAAACTGTAATACCCCGTATCAAGATGGGAATGGGAAGAACTCAAAAGGATTGATAGTACTACTCATACCAACAAGGTGCATCTTCTTTTCGAGAGCTCATCAACTAGAAACTCCAAAGTTAAGCGTTTTTGACTTGGAGCAATTCTAGGATGGGTGACCCCTTGGGAAGTTTCCTTGGGCGCGCACGAGTGAGGACAAAGTGTGCGGGAAAGACTTGTGTTGGTTTGTGGGGCTAGTCTACAATCCTATGAGCAAACACTTACGGCCAGGGTGGGGGCCGGGGTCTTACAAATGGTATCAGAGCAACCCTGCGACCGTGACGGGCCAAAAGAGCTTAGTTCACCTAGCAGGGAAGATCTATGGGTTCAAAAAAGGATGCAACGAGGACGTTGCATTTCTAAGTGGGGGTAAATGTAATACCCCGTATCAAAATGGGAATGGGAAGAGCTCAAAAACAACTACACACTCAGCTTTCACGTTGAGTGAGAGGTTCTAACAGTAGAAGTCACACGTAGAGTTGTTTCAACATACATAATCATTCATAGCATTCCATGCAACAAATATTATAACAGTTAATTTTTTTTACTCTTAACGGGACAACTTTGGACGTAAATTCGGTAGTGTTCACATAATTATTTTTTCCAAAATAATTATAGATGAATATTTATTCTAAGTGACACGAGTATTTCGATTTATTGTGCGCCAAAATTGCTCGGGTGAATGAGAAATTAATTCACAAAGTCGCACACTTGTAAGGGGATAAACCCACGTATCCCACATCGGATTTGAAACCCTTCAACTTCTTCCATTTATATGCTAGTCTTTAATAACATTGTAAATGCAATTTATGGAGGGAGAACGCGTGTTTGTGCGTGGCACGTTTGTGTGACGCGTCGTGACATGATCTGAACCCTTATTCTTTTACGAGACCGAATCGAACACGCATGGCCACTTCGTTAATTAACGAAGTGACGAATACACTGGGATAGATTGGTGGCGTATTTGGGAATAGCGTTAGCGTTTTGGATAAAATTTTAACGGTGCAAATTACTTTGAAAACACTGACACTAAACGCTGCCCGTAAATAACTTTTTCAAAATGCTAACGCTAATAGCTAAAACTATTCTCAAACAGGCGGGGTTATTCCACTAAGGTAGTGTATAACTAGAGGACCTAGCTCGGTCCTCGAACATACCAAATGACCACGCGAGTCTTGGTCGGCCAAGTAGTTTAGACGAGGACAATTTAGAATTACAATACAATTTATATCAAAAAAAAATTCTATGCTTGTAATGACGATTTAAAAACGAACGATAAGCTCACTCTATCCAAAGTTGGTTCACAATTTTCTCAATCTCCAAACGAACGATAAGCTCATTCTATCCAAACTTGTTATATGCTACAATTTGACAAGCCAAGTAAAATTTCATACTCCAATGGGCTTGTTAATGTTTGACAAGCTTGCTTAAAAATGAAAATGGCTTGCTACTAATAACAAACTTGATAAAATATAGCAAGCCAAGAAGAAGAAGAAAAATGTTGGTTGGGTTAGTTTTTTCATGTGCCATGATGCATTTGTTCCTTCACTTTCATTACCACAACGCAAGAAAAATTAATAAATATTATTTTATGTTTTTTACAAAAAATAATTTTATTTTTTTACCAAAAAAATTATAAATTTATTTTATTTTAAGTTTAAATAGCATACTTGTAGAATATTAATTAATTTTTATAATAAAATATTAAAATTATAATAAATAGTGTACTCTAATAGTGAAATCAATACAACAACAACAACCCAGTTAAATCCCACAAGAGTAGGGTCTGGGGAGGGTTTGTGTACACAGACCTTGCCCCTACTCGAAAGTAGAGAGACTGTTTCCAAAGAGACCCCCGGCTGAAGAATTATATTTTTCATTTATTAATTATGTGAGGAGTACATGTATATATATACAACATCTCAATCCTAGTTATGGTAGGAGAGGTATTCTAGGGAAGCTATACAAGTATGGAAACAAATCATAATACAATAATATTAAATATATTAAATATATTTAACATGCTTCCGGCTACGTCGGATGTGCTGGGGTCGGATACCCAGGCTTTCTCTGAAGTTCAGAAATAAGAGAGAGGGCAGTCCTTTTGTGAAGATATCAGCGAACTGAGAGGATGAAGGAACATGGAGGACTTTGACCTGGCCAAGCGCCACTTTATCGCGTACAAAGTGTATGTCAACCTCGACGTGCTTGGTGCGCTGATGTTGCACCGGATTTGATGATAGATAGACAGCACTAACATTGTCACAAAAGACGAGTGTGGCGCGACGGAGTGGTTGTTGCAGCTCAAGAAGAAGATTCCGGATCCAGCAGGTCTCTGCAACAGCATTGGCAACGGCTCGATATTCTGCCTCGGCGCTAGAACAAGAGGTTGTGGCCTGGCGTTTGGAAGACCAGGAGACGAGGTTATCGCCTAGAAAGACACAGTAACCGGATGTGGAGCGTCTGGTGTCGGGGCAGCCAGCCCAATCAGCATCGGAGTAAGCCTGTAAATAATCGGTGGCGGATCGTGTCAGATGGATCCCGTGGGTGGCAGTGCCACTAAAATAGCGAAGAACTCGCTTCATGGCAGTAAGATGTGAATCACGTGGTGCATGGAGGTGTAGACAGAGCTGCTGAACTGCATATGTGATATCAGGACGAGTGAAGGTGAGGTACTCCAGTGCACCGACAATGGACCTGTAAAAGGACAGGTCGGAGAGCGCCGAACCCACGGTGCTAGATAGTTTTGCCTTCGTGTCTACTGGGGTAGAGATGGGGCGGCAAGAGACCATCCCTGCCCGCTCAAAGGATATCATGAGTAAACTGAGTCTGGTGGAGGAAGAGTCCGGTGGCTGTGCGCTGGACATTGATCCCAAGGAAAAAATGTAGGTCGCCCATGTCTGTCATAGAGAATTCAGCCTTAGCTGCTGAATGAGACTCTGAAGCAGTACCGGGGAGGATGCTGTGAGTACAATGTCATCAACATATAGGAGCACGTATGTCGTCCCAATAGGCTGAGAGAAGGTGAATGGGGAAGTGTCGGCCTTGCATCCTCAGAAGCC